AAAAAAAAAAAAAGATTGTAGCCGTAGCGTCATTCCATACTGTCGAGAAATACATTGTTTTCACTTCAGTGGCTTTTAATCCCACTTAGGAATCTTAGCTTTTCGTTTGTTTTCTCTTTTTGCCAAAATTAACTGTTCGGTGGAGCCCTTGAAACCTCCTTGCTTTGCATGCATTAATGTGCCAAGCCAGCAGAGGACAGGAGAGCTAGAAGCCACTTTACGACGCCCGCAGTTGTCTGGTTTTTAAAATCTGTATATAGTGAGGAGCGTCTTCGGGGGACGGCAGCATCGCGCAGTGGTTGTGGGTGTCCAGGCGGACCTGCTCGGCGGGTCCAAGAGCCCTCTGTGGGCTCGCCAGGCTGGGGCGTCAGCCGTGGGGAGGAGTGCTCACTCCCCGGAGCCCCTCCCGGGCCCTTTTCCCCGTTTTATTTTGTTAATTAAATTCTTTCCAGATTGGATTACTCTGGGAATTCTTGCTTGTTGGACTTTTATTTTGTTTCTGGCCTTATTTTCCACGTGGGTATTGGAGGAGAGCGATTCTTTCTGGCATTAAAAACCGTGTATTCGGACAGCGCGTGAACTTGAAAGAGCACCCGGGAAGGCCAGCGCCGAGGAAAGTGGTCTGGTTTGTGTGATTAAATTATCTGGTCTTTAATTTTCCTGTTGAATAACTGTGTGGGGGGTTTGTTTGTTTTTAGGGAATTTAGTAGCGGCTCCCTGGACCCACAGAGCACAGAATTACAGCGTGGTGGCTACCCGAGTTGTCCTCTGACCTTGAGCCCCGCTGACTGTCAGGGGCTCTCCTCACCTGCGTCAGAAGTGGTAGAGAGAGCTAGAAACGGGGAGGTTGGCTCTGAGCGCCTGCCTTCCAGTGTGATACGTGCCTTTTCCATTTAGTCTTAAGGAATTGTCCGGCAGAGTGACGCGGGGCTGTGGTCACGGGTCCCAGTGTTTGCCCAGCTTCCCTTTTCGTTTTCACAGCCTGAAACAACCGCAGATACCTCAAACTCTGCATTCCAAACCAAGACATCTAGCAGGTAAAGTTTTGAGGCCGTTCAAACGGAGTTAGCGGCATAAAGGATCGTGGTGGATTCTGTGGAATGGTGACAGTTAAGGATAGAAGTGAAAAAGCAAAAATGTGTCTGCCCTCCCTTTTCCCTTTGTCGGGCATTTGAACCAAGGCGGGAGAGGGGCAGAGGCATCTGCTCCGGGTTGTATTTGTCTGGTCTCGGCAGTCGTGCGGCCTGGATGGAGAAGGGAGAGAGGCACCTGCTCCAAGTGCCTGCGGCTGTGTGCCCGGAGGTTCAGGTAGAAAGCCTAGGTGCAGGGGGCACCCAGAGTAAGCTCTGACTGTGGCAGAAATCTCCAGAAACGCCGGTTGTGGCAACGAGTGGACGTGCCGTATTAGTCGAAGGTGAGGGCAGAATATACTCTACTTTCCTCTGGAGGCTGGAGGCGGGCACGCCTGCCAGCGTGACTCGCAGTCACGGGGGCGATAGGGTGTGCGTCTGCTGAGGCCCCGCGCAGGACACGGCCTGCCCGAGTCAGACCCGGAAGGCCCACTCGCTGTTGCCTCTGGAGCAAGGCCTTGCACTCCATGTCTTTGGTGGTGCCTTTGGCCAGGGTGAGTGTTCACGGGAAAACTAGTGTCAGAGGCTGCGTAGCGGACGTGGGGCCCTCACGGTCTCCTGACTACCAAAGAGAGAACTGCCTTTCCTGTTGTGTGTTCAGTATTGCCGAGCTGGGTACCTTTGCGTCGGCCTGCACGCTTGTGGCGACGTGAGGAGTCACGTCTGCTCTGTGGTTCCTCCTGGCCAGGAGTGCGTGGCTTTGTCTGTCTTTGGGATTGGTGGCCCTGTCAGCCGCCATCTCCTCGATGGTGGGACGGACGCTTAGAAAAGGTGGCCTGAGTGGCTGTGACTGTCACTGCCTGCCCTGTCCCAAGGGGCAACGACAGGGCTGGCCAGGTGCTTCTTTGTGCCTGGGCATCAGCAGGCTGGAGGCGCATGCGGGGGGCGCTGGAGAGGACAAATCTGGGAGAAGCCGCTGAGATGCACATTAGCAGGACTCTTGCTGCCGCACCCGAGGCTTAAACAAGACGGGACCCCAGCCGAACCAGACGGGGCACTGACGTGCTGAACTCCAAGCCGTACGTAGATAGTAACTTTATTATGTCCTCGCTTTCCGAACTTCCGAAAGAATCACGGGGTAGGAAACAAAACCTGGAAGCCTGCTTCGTAGAGCGGTGTGGACTGGGACCAAACCCTTTGTGTTTCCTAAAGCAGCGGAAGCCACAGTCAGGTGGAAGCTGGAGCCGAAGACGCCTGCGGCAGCCCCCGATCCTGGCACCGTACTGTCAGCTGGCCTGGGTGGGCCTGGGGCCTCGGTCTCCTCCTGTCCCTGCCCCGAGGGGCCACTGCCTAAACGGGACATGCATGCTGCAAATGCCCGGTTAACCTTTGAAACAGAAATTCGTCTGACCAAATGCAACCGATGGTTCTTCTTCGGTTCTCGTTTGAATACTGAGCCGGTGGGAAAGGTGAAACGAGCACAGTGTGAGTATAAGGCCCAGTCAAGGTCACGCGGCTCCCTGTCGTCCCTGCCTTTCCCACTCCCAGATTCCAGGACCCTGAGCAGCTGCGGGAGTGGGTCTTGGGCAGGAGGGTTGCTGGGGGAGACTCCACAGTCACCCCAGAGCAGACTGCCTTCTGCCGGCACAGGCCACAAGCTCGTGCCTCGTCTGTCCCACTCCCCTGCAGCCGCCGCCCCCCCCCCCCGCCGCTCGCCAAGGAGGGGCTCCTGGGCACTGCCTACTCAGATCCATTTGGGGAGCCATGGGGAAGATGGTGAGTCACGTACAGAAAAGACTAGATGTGCTCAGGTCACAGGCCAGTCAGTGGTGGGAGCTGAGTTCCGGGCTCATTCCCGCTGTCGTCCGAGGTTTTGTGCGGCCGTCTGCGGGGTGTGCGTGGGCCATGCTGGTTTGGTTTTGTTTGTCCCCTGCCCTATGTGTCTGTAGGTCCTGTCTTGTGCATGCGGGGAATGACAGGAGCCCTCGGCTAACATGCGTGTATGACTCTGTAGCTAGTGCAGCTGAAAATCCAAATATGTTACTTTACAAGTGTACTTAATTCTTAAACTGACGGTGGACGGGCGGAAAGGTTTTGGATCGGGTTCTGTGGTGTCAGACGAAAAAGAGTGCGTTCAAGCCATTGGTATTCTGTGTGGGAGGAGCGCTTTCTATAGAATTCTCTTTTGTGAATGACTGCTTTCTTACTGAGAACGTACAATGACAGCTCATTGCCAAGCCGGTCTCACTGATGTATATTTGGGCTCCTACCAGGTCCTGACCCTTGGCCCGTATTGTACCTTTTCATTCTGTGGATTTTGTGAAGCACAAAAAAAATTGGATTTTGAGGCGTGGCCAACCCTTCTTATCCTTCCCCGATATCTGACCAGGAAAGTCTTTAATTTGGAAAAATTAAATCTTTTTAAAGCTCAGAATTTAAAGGAACTGTTTCGATTCCTCACTCCTATGTTGTATCATTCTTTACTGAGTTGTAATTTCTGTTCCTTCTTACATTTCCTTTGTAGGTGAAGCTGTTGTATGTGCTGCCGTGTATATGGGTGGGGGGGGAGGGAGGGAGGGAGGGTGTGTGTGTGTGTGTGTGTGTGTGTGTGTGTGTGTGTGTGTGTGTGTGTGTGTGGTGCACGTGCGCATGAGGGGGCCGAGGGGGAAAGGTGTGCGTGTGCGCACGCACACACCGTGGGGAAACGTGCTTACCGATTCCACATCCGAGCGGATGGCCCCTTGCTGTTAGCGTTTATAACTGCATTAAGAAATTAGAAGCTGCGATGTCCTTTTCTTCGCGGCCTCGTTGCCGCCTCACAGGCCCTCCATCTCATCTGTCTCGTGTTTCAATGCGCTGTCCTTCTGCCTCGAGCACTTGGGCAGAATATCAGAGTCCTGAAGCCCAAGTGACAT